TATGAAGGTATCCTTTAGAGTGCACGTGGTCTAAAACACTGCATATCTTTTTAAATATAGAAATACAGTTTGCTTTAGTAACTGCGTTGTTATCGGCCGCTTGATGGAGAGTTACACTTTCTTGCTGAACACCATGAAATTGAGTCACAAGGCATAATGGTGAGGCCTTTGTAACAACACCAAAAATCATGGGTAGATGTGGATGGTCCCCCAAAGCAGAAACGACCTTTGCTTCGTGGAGTAAATCTCTCCTTGCTCGTTCTTCAACCTCTGACGTTTCGTTGCGAGTCATTTGCTTGACAATAACGTCGATGCCTCGATAGCGCCCGAGAAAACACTGTCCAAAGCTTCCACTCCCAACTGGATTTTTAGACAAGTATTCAATGTTTTCTGGCCTGAGTTCTTTGGGTTCAAATCTGGATCCATTGCTCGCTGTGGTTTTTTTTCCAATTAAAAAGGTTTGATGACGTTCCCCACGAGGTTTCTGCGAGACAACTGCGTCGGCACCAACAGCCATTTGAATCATCTTAGCAGCTCTTGAGCAACCACCCAAGGCCTCTTTCTTCTCTTCACTGCCTGGTTTAAGCGCGAGGATATGGGGTTTCTTGACATTTTGTGGCTCAAAATGTTGGTCCGAAGGAGGCAGTTTCGTTTCCTTAGCCTCAGAAGTACAAGGCACTAACTCATTCGCTTCGCGGTTGAGTGATTGTAGTTCAACATTTTTATTCGTTGAATTCGGCATTTGCTTCCCTTGTTTCCTCTTTCTCCATTCTTTTCTCTGTCTGTTTCTTTCTTCTGGAGTGTTTTTTCGTGATTTAATAACTCGCTCTTTTCGTTCTTCTTCATCTTCAAAATCCTTCACAAATTCCGCCATCATTATGTAGCTAATTGATCTATTTCCGAAACACAAATGAGCTCGTGATCGGTGTAAAAGTATAAAACAAAGGCTTGTTGATATGCAGGAAATTCAATGCTCGTTTTAATGAACTTGATGATATGTGAAAGCCCGAGTTGCTCTTCAATCGTTTCTGGTTTGCTTTCATTACGTGACATTCTTCTGTCGGAAGAGTGTCGGGAAAAACACCTCGCAAGGATCGTACGTGACAACACCCTCCACGCCTCGACTAACGCTAAAAAAGCTCCATACAATTCCTTATAATTTTATTATAAGGAATTGTATGGAGCTCTCCGGGATACTTACAGTGCAAGCCCTGTGTGTCTTCTCATGTCTAATAGACTAGTTTGAAGAAGTAGGCAATAATGAAATAAATTTGATGCATAGGCTGTGCGCAAAACTTTAATTTGACCATACTTTTATAGCCAATACCAATCCCTACACATACATGTACTAAAAATTTGTTAGTAGGGTCAGAGGAAAAATAAATGTACCATACATCTGCAAGATATCTTGTAATTATTTTAATCACATGAATATTAACTGATACAAAATGTAGGAGATCTAAGAATATTCAAAAGAACATAAAATTTGGTTGAAAAATTAGAATTCAGCATAAATGAAAGCTGGATTATATAACACAAGATTCTTAGAAAAAGTAATGTGTACTAATGTGTGACTTAGACATAAGTTAATATGGTAAGCAAAATTTTTTGCCACACCTGCCTGTACCTGTAATTGGCACATAAAAAAGTCATTCAAAGTAGTCATAATCCTGGTTTAATGTTGAAAACACACGTGCATGCAGATTTACTATAAACCTGTAGTTCAAGCTTGCCATGACTTTAAAATTTAAATGCACACCTCAAAAAGAGAAAAAATAAATTTCAAGTCTTTATTTATTAAATTCAGGTTAGCGAGGTAAAATCGAGTCAAACTTTCATATTCCGAGAAGATCAAGAAATTTTCACAACTCATTCATAAGGGTAGCCTACCTGGAACAATAACCTTCAAGAACAAATAAGACCAGGTTTGTAATGATAATGGAAAAAATCACAGTTTTACAAGAAAATAATGATAAAAAATTAGTAGCAAACCCCAGCCCTGGGTCAGAGAATGCTTTAAAAATAGCAATTTGCTCATGCACAAAAGAACTATCTGTGATAAGAGGGAAGACTTTCCTTTCTTCATTTAGAATAATACTGATGTTATCATCTTTCCACAAGCTCAGTGGACAGTGATAGAGAATTAGACTAATGATGACTATGTTATTTGAGTAAATATCCAGAGGAGGATAAGTAGTCTGGTAGGATAAGGTCTGCACAACTATCTCATTTTAATGTTTTAACCTACAAAGCTAACTAAGGCACTTATATTCTTGCCTTGTGCATTACGTGGACACCAATTAATTTAACTTTCATGCATCAAAATAAAAAAATATTCTCTTCATCTATGTAACCTAAACATTAAAGGGGAGGCAGGTCAAAGTAGAAACATGGATTAAAATAGGAGAGCCCCCATTAATTTCAGTCGTAATGAAAGGAGGATCCTTGTCTTTCCAGATTTCCATCCATTAAAACTCACATATCTTGTGAGCAAGTCCTTCTATCAATGTTCAGTTTTGGTATGAGCATTGGTAAGAAACACCATGCACTATTGAAAGCTTGAGCAAGAGTACTTAATGCATTCTAAATAATAATACTACATGTTACGATGTGGTACCTTACTCAGCAAAATTATATAATCACACAATTTCAAACAAAGCAAGTCAAGTTATAGACTCACTTGCTTCAACTTTTGAGGGCCTTAGGTACAAACAAAAGGATAGGGTAAACAGCTAGAATTAATACAAAGTTAAAGTTTGAAAGCTACAAGATATACATTGCGATCATCAAACCCTATGCATCCAAGCAAAAATAGGGTCAGTTACCACCAAAACTTCTCCCAAACATTCATGCTTAGAGGAAATAATATCTCATAGTATATGACTGTACGAGCCACCACTTCAGCGTGATTTTTTCGATTACTTTTTCTTATGGTCATCTATTTTTAGTATCTATCTTTTACCAGCTGACATCTGAGAAGGATCAAGTCCACACTAGCTATTTGACACATTGAAGGCAAACCCTACCACTGATTAAATTTTATTTGATCAATAACATGAAGTACAATATGGGAAATTAGCTAGCACAATTCAAGTTTCCTTTCTTAAGTATTGTGATCTTTTTTCTATCATACGGTAAAGTTTGCAGATTCCCTAATTTGACTGTCTTCTATTCATTTGTTTGGTTGCTTTCCTAACAATCCTAACTACTGTTGCCAACAAATGGGAGGAACATAAGAAATGTGTACAGCTATTAAAGACATTATGTAATCAGTTCTATATATGTGGTGTATTGCTTGAATATACATAAGTGTATCATTGTGGTAAGTGCGAGTGCTCAGTAAACATGGTCTTCTACTCTTCCACCTTTGTGGGTGCCTTGTATACATAAAATAACAACGGCCATACCCAAAATATTTTTTAAAGACACCTCTACACAACAAACATGTATGGGTGAGGTTTGTCAGGCACTAAGATATGATTGTCATTTTGCTTTTCATTACTTCCAAACAGCTTTTTTCTAGCAGTTTTGAAAACTTCTTTATCTCCGCTTTCAACTGAAGACAATTCCCATCAATATTTAACATTAAAGACATAAACTGCCAGCAAAAGGTTTTTCCATTATAAGTGTTTCAAAGTGACAAGTTATTTCAGGGACAGTTTTGTATTGTGGTAAAGGATCCCAAAAAGCAGTGATAGGTTCTTCTTCAATGGCCTCTCGTGGTTATTTCCAACCTCTTTGACAGTTTATTACTTTAAAAACGTCATCTTTTTAAATTTTGTATTAAAATAAACGATTGTTTAGCATGTTGTAAAACTTAGATGAATAGTCATTACTTAGATAGGGGAAATGACCTCTGAGAGCGTACTATTACCGATTGTTCATGCATAAGTACAAAGACTAATTACAGCGATTCGTGGGCACTAATTTCCCATCAGACTTGGTTTTATTTGACAATCTACGCGTCTAGCGCCCTGAAAATACCTGGTCAAATACATCACTGTACGTACGCAGAACCAGTTTGATCATTTCATGTTGTAACACTTCCTGCCACATTCTTCGAATCATCTTAAGCGGTAGCGAAATATCAACTCGCTTGATAAATAATCAAACATATTAGACAAGAAAGAAGTCAATTTTGAGCATCGAAACGCTTCACGACATTGGAAATTATTAACAACAAAATGCCGAAGCGGAAGTTCGTACACGGGTAGAGGGTGGTGGACTCAATGTCCGAACTTTCGCGGTTTGTTTACATCAAGTGAAATCTAAAGCCTAAAAGGTGAATTAAGCGTTGACAAAGCTAACTCTTACGCATGCATCCGGCACCACTTTAATTTAGAACAGATGATAGTGAGCTCAATCTTCAAATACAACCCCTATGAATCCCAAGCGCTGCTTGACGATAGGCTGGGGTTTTCTGTGACGGAAATATCACAAGTGCTGTCTAATGTTTGCTGTCTATCACCGAGTAAGACAACTTGAATTCACCTTGGCGCAATCGATTTCCTGTTTGCATATTGTCATTTGATCTACGATCTGCATAACTGAAATGGTTTATTTGACATTTCCTTTCTCTGTACAAAATCACAAATAGTCTTACAAAAATTCATAGCAAAGTTTTCAGCTTATAAATTCAAGGTTGTGTCCAATCTTAGCTGAAATCGACGTTTAACCAGACATCCAAGCACAAGATTTTCACAAGATATTCGTTAATGACAGAAATGACGAAATCAACCCTTCTGGGTGGAGGGGTAAAGGAAGTTAAAAGAAACATGAAGTTCCCGTTAAGAGAAATTCCAGGAACCCGAAAGGGCACGCCAAACAACTAAAGTGGCTCACTTCAAATCGCATGCTTCTTATCTCAACAGCACACAAGGCTTATTCTTGGTTTTCACCCACGTGACCTATACCTTGACAACGGTTGCTACGCCGCCATATTGGTGTCGTATCATTCAAACATTTCGCGTGTTATCAAAGCTTTAGAAATATTCTTCATCATGGTTCATTGTATTATGGTTGATTGTTTTCATAATAGTGGAAAGACGAAAGGTATAGGGTTTTATAGGATTCCAGTTGTAGTCACTAACCAAGGAGAAAAAGCAGAAGAGCTAAGCAGAGAACGAAGAGAAAGATGGATCGCCGCCATTAGCCGCGACGACATCACTTCGAAGGATGTCCTCAGTAATGAAAGAGTCTGTGGACGACATTTCGTGTCAGGGCAATCTGCAAAACCCTGGGATAAGTACAACGTCGACTGGGTTCCTACTTTGAATCTCGGGAAGACAAAATATCAACAGGAAAACCACGACATTAAAGAGGCAAGAGCTAAACGAGCGAAGGAACGCCGCAAAAGATCACTCGAGCGTCAAGAACGCGAGGCAGCTGAGAAACGAAAGAAAATCGATGTCAGTGGCCTTCCCGTCCGTGATGTGGATTTCAGTGATCCTAAAGAAGGATCATCCAAGGAAATTGATTCTTCTGAGGATATTTTTGATCACGATTGCGCATTTCAAGACCACACTTGCTCAACTCTCGTTGACAGTTCAACTCAAACCCAAGTTGATGTATCTGAAGCTATGACTCAAACCGAAGAGTTTGAATACCTTTTCAAAGAATCATATAAGCCAATTGATCGAGATTTTTTTGATTCTGATGAAAAAGTTCGCTTTTATTCTGGACTGCCTTCAATGGATATCTTAATGACTGTCCTTGACTTTGTGTCACCCCACATCAAACGAAGAACCCAAAAACTTAGCCTTTTCCAGGAAATGATTATCGTGTTGATGAAACTGAGACTGAATATGCCTTATCAAGACTTAGCCTATCGTTTTCAAGTATCTGTGACAACAATATCAAGAATATTTTCATCATGGTTACCAGTGATGGATCAGCATTTGTCCCCACTTATTTACTGGCCTGAAAGACACCAGCTATGGAAGACAATGCCTCTTTGTTTCCAACAAGCCTTTGGAACCAAAGTCACTGTTGTTATTGACTGTTTTGAGATTTTTATTGATAAGCCTACAAACTTGTTAGCTCGAGCTCAGACATTTTCATCCTACAAGCATCACAATACTATCAAAGTACTGATTGGTATTTCTCCCCAAGGAGCTATTTCCTTTGTGTCAGAGGCATGGGGAGGACGTACCTCTGATAAGTTCTTGACAGAAAACTGTGGCATTCTTGAAAAACTTTTGCCAGGTGACATGGTTATGGCAGACCGGGGTTTCACAATCACAGAAAGTGTTGCTCTCAAACAGGCAAGACTTGTGATACCAGCCTACACGAAAGGGAGGGAACAGCTGGATCCTATTGATGTGGAAAAAACAAGAGCTCTAGCAAGTGTACGGATACATGTTGAGAGGGTGATTGGTTTGCTGCGTCACAAGTATACTATTCTTCAAAGCACTCTTCCCACTGATTTCTTGAACAATGACAATGGACAGGATGAAGTACCAATTATTGACAGAATTATTAAAGTATGTTCAGCTCTTGTAAACCTGTGTCCACCCATTGTACCATTTGATTAGCTCCATACCTCATACAGTACTGTTATAGTCATATATTGTAGCTAATGAAATGATATGATGGGGTGGAGAGTCTGTGTATAATTTAAGAAATATTATAACCCCATGAAAAGAGAGCAAGTGACTGGGAATGAGCACTGTGTAACATTAATAATTTAAAAAAAATATACTTCCATTACAAGAAGGATCGACAACAATGACAACATTTTATTTGTGCTGTGATATTACATATATTTACAAAAATTATAAGAATTAAAATATAAATTATGTTTGCAGGGGGCAGTAAGGACTGTTTATTGAGCACAGCTGCTTAAAATAGCTTGAGTTCATTATTCTTCTTGGATTTTTTTTTAATGACTGCTACTCTTGAGATTAGCATGAAACAACAAAACAACATTTTTAGTGTAAAATGTATTCAAAAATGTGGAAAAACTTTGATTTCACCAGCTCTCAAACATTCAAGTAAATGTGGTCTCATTCTTGGGATGTCAAACATAAAATCTGAAGGGTTGAGTTCAAACACAAGGCATGTTGCAAATGCTACAGCAAAAACGCCACAGTCACTGCCATTCATTTGTTGCTGCACTGGTACAACTTCAATGCCAACAAAGTTATTTGGTAGCAGATCTTTAACTTGCTGCTCAACTTCATCATCAATAATGTCATTGTACAGACTGTCGTACAAATTAACACATCCTGATGTGCAACCAATAGAACTAATGCACACCCAATGTGAATTACCCGTGTGTAAGATTTGAACAAAGTCACTGGTCATTATGTCAAAGTTCCTTACTCTTCCAAGAGTTGGTCTTCGAAAACCCTCAATGAGAGGATTTACTTTCTTGATGCATATTTGTGCTGCCTGTATTATTTTGCAATCCAACCAGCCACCAGGAGATGAGATTATGTCATAGTCATGCTCATCTAGATCTCCAAAAGATGCAATTCTGTTAGCTACACCTTTAGTCACACAGATTATTTCTAAGTCCTCATCACTTTCATATTCATCTCCAGTACAGTATTTATTTGACTCATTTTCATGTAGATCTTCAAAAGATTCAGAAGCTGTTCTGCTTTCAGTCACACAGGGTATTTCTATGTCCTTGCACACTTTCATATTCAGTTCCAGACACAACTGAAGCTGATGGATTATTAACAGTACATGTAGTACTGGTGGTATAAGAAGAACATGTGGTAGGGATAGTTAATGAAGACTTGTCTACAGGTTTTTTCTTCACTTTGCAATTTTTGCAGACCCAATATAGCTTGCTGTTATTGGGCATCCTCTTGTAGTTTAGACATTTCAGATGGAAAAATTTCCCACTCTGACATTGACTATGACATTTCAGCAGCTTTTCCCCTACAACAGGTTTAGCTTTGCAAACACAAATGGACTGTAATTTCATTGCTTCATCGAAATCAGGGTTCTTTTGACAATCAGGCTTGATCTTAGTAACTCTCTTGGTTTTCTTACATTCTGGAAGTAACTGGCAGCTTGGACAGTACCATACTTTGGGTAAGGGATCAGATATCCCTAAACATGAGAGGTGAAACTCAATGAATGGGCATTTGGGGTTTTGACAAGGCACTGTGCTTTCTTCTGGTTTGGGTTTTCTGCAGTAGCAAACAGGCTTTATATCACCTGCTGGTACAGGTGCAGCAATTTTATGCTTCCTAGTGTACCATCTTCCTAAGATTTCAGGTAGGATACAAGATCTCCACACTTTGGTGAGTTTTGGAAGAACTGATTCCCAGTGTGAAATGTCCTTGTAAATTCTCTCCAAGAAAAACCTTGTTTGATTGTTATTGTCAAAAGAGCACACAACAAAGTCACAATACTGAGACTCTGTGATAAACAACTGTTGCTGTACTTGAAAAAAGTACTGGTGATTTCTCTTGAGCTGTACCTTTCCATTGACCTTTTCAAGACATGAATTCTTCTTTTCCACATAACTTTCAAGGTCACAGTTTTCAATTTTGTAAGGGCATTTGACTTCTCCACAACCATTCCCACAGCATGAACATGATACCAAAAAATCTGGAGTAGCATTTATCCAGGGGTGCTGTTTATCCACTATCATACCACATTGTTCAACTTTCAGATCTCTGTGAGTCTCTAGCATAGTCTTGGTATAAGCATTCACTGCAGCACTCTCATTCTTACGGCCATGACTGATTGCTTTAGTAGTAACTTTGAACAGATCAGGATATGAGATGGACTTGATTAAGGATTGTGATGGCATAGCAGGGTTAGTATGAGCTACTGCCCAACTCAGAGATGCACCAATGCGCCCAGCTCTGTGCCTGAAAAATGCATTTCCTTTAGCCTGTTCCCTGGTGTCTTGCTCAATTAATTCTACCTGTGATTCTGAAATAGTCAGATCAATATTTTCACACTTTTCTAGGAGTTCTGGATATGACAAGTCAAAATTACATGGATCAAAAAGGTCAGAAATGGTTGGGATACTTCTACTTTTCATGATAAACTGTTCAGAATAGGGTTCAATCAAGCTTAAGGCAACAGGTTTGAACTTGCACTCATTTATTTTGGCAAGCAAATGTTTAAGCTCAGTTCCTCCAGATGTAACCCGTTCTGTCGAGACCTTAGCTTTCTTTGTAGTGCAAGGTGCTGATAAGGAAGGTGGAGAGTTTGCTGATAGTCCCTCAATACAGGCATCTAAGTTATCTTTCAACTTTTTCGCCGACTTGAAGTTGATATCTTTGACCCTAGCATAAGGAACCTCACTCACATATGTCGGTAACAACCACGTGCACTTTACTTGAGTACATGCCAGCGTTTCATTAATTCTCGTTGAAGCTTCGATATGAAATAAAATACTTGCAATATGTGAGCAAGTCTCAGCTAGTCCAGCTTTACAACCAAGGCAGTGGGCTGATAACACGGTTCCCTCCTTATTAGTAATAATCCAAACTGCAAATGGTCGCTCATTCATTCGTTGAGAATGTCTCACCTTTCCGATCACCACGAATTTTTCACCTATGACTTTGCCTTCAACACTGGAAATAAAACCCGAAACCATCTGATTGTAGGCCTCCAAGCTTTTGAAAGCTTTGAACTGTTTCTTTGTGTAATAACTGGTATCGATAACCAAATAGCACAGGAGATCTGTAGCTTCTATGGGTGGTAAACATTGTGGATCTAACTTTGCGTCGATCAATGTAGCGGGATCGATCCCCACGAGTGATATTTTTTCTAAATACCTTTGTTTAACATGTGGCTCTAGTCTTTTAACATAGTCGCTTAAAGGTATATTGCAAATATCTTCCTTTTTTTCTTCCTTTTTGATGTTTTCAGAAATTTTGTCCAAATCACGCGACATACTTTTAAAGAATCATGCACCAAAACACTGCATTTTGACATATGCTAATAAGCTTTTGCGACACCAATATGGCGGACGCCTAATTTGCATATGCTGTGACGTCACGTGAAAACCAAGAATAGAGTTCAAACTAGAAGTAGTGTACGTTATTCTCCGGGAAAGTTGCACAAAAATAACAGTCCAAAAAGGTGATATTATTTACTTTCCTTATTTAGCTATATGCTTTACCTACTCATGTACCTAGTCACCTGACTTGCGTAAATGTGTATTGCTGTCTTCTGAGTACCTTCATAATTCGATATGGAAGTTATACAGTTACAAACAGTAACGGTTTTTTTCACGTTATGAGAGGGTTTAGCCACTGCTTACGGGAACGGATTGAAAGAAAATTAATTTCGAGCTACGCATCTACAGAATTAATCAAAATTGATGAGTGGATATTGGTGAGTCAAAGATCTAGCGATTGCATCACTGAAAGTAGTTATGAACAATTATGATAAAAAATTTTGTTATGGAAAAATCAACTAACTAGTACAACTGTTTCTGGTTCCTTAGTTTCACCCACTGTATCTGATCCTTCCAATACTGCTTCAGCCTCTTATATTAAGATTAGCCTTTTAATCTCATGCATTTTTCCTAGAATTTCCTCGAACTTTAGAAAAGCTCTTTGTCCATTAGCACTCTCTTAATCCTGCAGAAAAAGAGTTAAACGCAGATATGATCTATGCGGTCTGAGTACTTTGGGAGTATTTACGTTGGCTGCGCCAAGCTTTTTCCATGGTTCGTATCCAAAACAGCTGATCAACAATCCTATTAAATACGAGTCAATCACCAGACTGACACTTCAATTTACCGACATATTTTTAATAGACGAGTCGCCAACGGTAGCAACCACAAGACTAGAAAGGTCTATCGCCAAGAGTTTCACAACACTACTTGAAATGCACTCTCGTTCTTACGATGTACGCAATGGCGCCAATGTTTTTAATCTCCCTAATCATTCAAAAAAAGATAAGGCTGTTTGCCGCCTTTCCTTACATTTAGGAAGTTCAGAAAGCTGCAAAACACTAGAACAAAAATTTCTTTTCCAAATCGGCACTCTTAACCCCAACGGTACCAACGAGCGCTTTTCATTCCACTAATTTATTCCTGTTTTCTTGTCACCATATTCCCACCAATAGCGTAGTTCCACTTTCCGCATATGAACCCACACTCAACCCACAATTCCTCCAATCACTCTGACGAAGGGCTAACACTCCCTTACCCTTACCCTTTACGGTAACCAATTTACGTTTTCAACTCAGTTGTTAACACTGAATTACCTACTATACTCTCCCACCGACGCAGCACCACAGTTTCTGTAGAAACTTACAGCCTTTGTTACTTTTATTTAGCTTTCCAAATAAATTGATTAGCTGCTTTCAGGCCATAACAACACTTAAAGTTAAGTCGACTCATACCTCGTTTTTCTTCGTCGAAGCTGCTGAAACTGATGTTTACCAACTTCAAATTAAGCACATAACATATTGAAAATTAAAATTTACTGACTACTTGAAACCTTTGGAAAATTCAATTTCCAGTTCGCTGTTTCTGATTTTACTTCAGTTAAAGCCGGCTTAACTAGATCTGTTTTGCCGTTGTGAATGGGGTATCAAGTCTAAAGATGTACAATCCACTACATTTATAGACGAATAAAATCTCCTATCTTTTTCTTGAAAATTAATTTGTCTCACGATCGTAAAGAACACGTCTTCCCCCCCCCAATCCCCCCCAAAAAAAACGGAAAATAATTCAATTCAGGACAAAGTTATCGAGACCATTCAGGTCCTGAAAGAAAAAAAGAATCATCAAATTTGAAACTTGATGGATTCATTTCCTTAAAACCATTGATGAAAGGTTATCTATTGGTGAATTAGTGCATTGTAAAGGATGTTATTTATACCATAATAAAACTAAAATATCTTACTTAAACATGACTCACCCACAATTCCGAGGCGTAAAGGTAAAGGTTATATACACTCGCAACATTATGGTGCCCTGAATACGCTAGATTAAAATAAAAGTCAGAAATTTACCAACGATTGAAGTGGAGAAGAGCGACATGGGTTGCTGTAGCTGCAGTTTCTTTCAGTCTACCGGCCACTTTTACTAACCTGAGGCTTTGGTTTAATTTAGTTACATTTTTGAGCAAATCGTTTATTTAACCTTTTTCTGCTAAAGATTGATGTCTAAGGTCTTAACGGACCGCTTCATTAATGCAGAAAACTTTTTCGTAAAATATAATTCAATTATATTCACAATATACGTTGGGCAGAATTCTTTTTAATATGACGCAGAGTAGTTTCGTCATTTTTTAACGCCAAATGGTTGATGATAAATGTGGAAGCAACAATCGATCAAAGATCTATTTAAAGACAAATTGTTCCGGTCATGAGCCTCGTCATTTCCAGAGGCTTTCACAAAGATTAAGGTGATTTCTCAGTAATGCATTCCACATCCTGTACTGCGCATAAAAATCACCTAATCAGGCGAATACGCGCACGCATTCCGAGAACACGATACTGTTTTTCAATCAATAGACCACGTAAAGAGATAAGATGGTTTCTGGCTCTTGATCGAGTGGGGCGACCTATATTTATAATTGCATTGTTTTGGTGTACAAATTATCCCATTCAAATGGGGAAATTTGAAGAAACATCATTCAAGGGAAAGAAAGATATAGCTGAATGCGTGCACGAGGCCCGTTACTTGACGACGCAAATTATAACGTTGAAAGCAACGAACCTTTTCAGTCGATGTCGTTTACAATCACATGATTTTTCCACAAATTATAGATCAAATTGTTCCATACGCTCGAGAATTTCTACCTATCAAGATTTTTTTCAGTGCTACTTTTAAGACCCTTCCTTTCAGCTATCACAAAATGTAACGCAACCCGATGAATGACGCACGTGATAAGTGCCAATACAGGCATAAATGGATAAGATTGGCTAATTACATCTCTCAGACAAGCATGGTAACCCTTTTTTATTGTACTTATCGTAACAGACAGGGAAAACTTACGGAAAGTAAGCCGATGTTTCTCAACTTCAAAGTTTGCGCTTTGTAAATACAAGTTAGCGACTACTTGAATCTAATGTAAAATTCAGGTTTCAATTCCCTCTTTCTGCTTTTCATGTAGTTTAAACCGGTTTAATTAAACTTTGTTTGCTTTATGAAAGGGGTATAAATCTCTCATGAAAAAAAAGAAGTCAAATTCTAATATGTCAAAACCTATACTAACACTTATGATGAATCCAAGTATTACAGTGGTAAACCCAAAAGCTAACCTGCCTTTTGAAAAACAAAAAAAGCTAGTTTTGTGGATTTGAAGGTACCAGCAACGTGGCCTCCAATGAGATATTTTTCTATACAGTGGGATTGTGCAAAATCGTCTCAGTGTACCTTTTGTTTTATAATTTTCGCGCATTCGTATGAATTCAATATTTTAAAAAAATTTTCATTATCTTAGGGAGGCAAGGTTTCAGTTCTCTTCGCCGCCCCCTCAACTCCACGAGTAAAGGGCCTAAGGACTCCTGTGATCAAAGGATGGCATCCATACATTGAGATTTTACAGAAAAAATTCAATTCATGCCGACACAGAGTAGCACTGAACAGCTACCTATGTTGAATTACGTCATTAGCCACATCGATCAGAGTGCATTGTACTATCTAAAAGAAAAAAAAAAGGTAGTTTTAACATAATATCTTCTTCAATTTTCCACAGCAATAATTGCGTCATGCCCTCATACCCGCGACAAGCATTCCTTTGAGATAACTGTATAAAACGTTTATATGCTGAAATATTGTTCTGGTTGCCATACGACAACAGATGGATCAATCACCCACCGATCAATACAGAGCCATGCTATGATATTTTTTCTCAATTAGACTGAGTTGAAAGACCCTTTAAAAAAAGAAAATAATTATTTTAAAACATACCTGCTTGAGAGATATATATCTCAGGATCAATTTCACCGACCATATTATCTTAGGCCTTCGGCAAACTAGAATTGAAAAAAATATTTAAATAACCAACTGAGACTGAAATACATGTTCAACATGGTCAAGGCTGCATGCAGGGATCGTCGTAAGCCCTTGTATTTGAAATTTGTGTTTTGTGTATTCCTATGTTTCTTCAGCTTGTCATGTTTAGTGTATTCTATCAGCGCGAACATTATTGTAAGTAGAATTTGCGTTAAAGTTTAAAATCGTATACAATACGATCGAAAGGCTTAGCTGGCAATCAGAAAAAGAATTGCTTTTTGGAAGCTTATAGATACTGTGAAAATTATCATAAAATAGCACATTCAGAAAAGTAAAACGCGTAGGCAATTATCTTAATTTTGTCATTTAGGAGCAATTCGTTGCCTTTTTCCCATAGTTCCATAGTGTCTGATCGCCTACAGTTCATGATGTTTCAATTTAATTCATATGCTTGGCTTTTCCTTTGATTAAGAACAAAAACCAAAGTTGTACTTGAATATTTCTAATCAAACTGTTTAAGTTGGCAGATATAAAGCCCTCGTATCCGCAAAACCTAATGATAATTTCCATGTTTCCCTTTATAAGAATTATGCGAAGGGAAAATACTTACGCAGCCAGCAGCATGTCGAACTCTTCTGTTGTTGTCTGTACTCGGTCATAAATGTTTCCCAGTTGTACAGTTAGCTGGTTCAAGGTGTGTGACTTGTTACAAAGTCCTGCGATCTCGTCTGACTACTCAAGTTCGACGCTCTCTAATTTCTTTAAGATATTTGCTACAGCGGCGTCCTATTTGATTTGCGAGGAGCCTTTTCCAGCAATCTATTTTGTATTGGCTTATGGGGAATTTTCTCTTCAACTGGTCTCCCAAACGAATGCCACGAAACCATTCTCCAATACATCCTCCGACAGCTCCAACAGGACCTTCTAAGGTAGTTGCCCATGTTCTACCCGTCATCACTCCGTGTGCGACCGCCTCTCCAACACAGCCTGCGAGTGCCCCTAGGAAACCAAAGCGAGAAAGTCTTAATCATGTGTGATAACTTAAAACAAGATGCTTCGACTATAAACTCAAACTATAAATGACAATGAGACATTTTTAGAGACATCCTTGTTTTTTATCCCTTACATAAGCTGATGTAAAATAATGGGGTGGCTTTTAAAGCGGTTATTAAAAGGCATCCTTTTCACATGTTATTTCATACACAGCATATTATACTGTAATTTCCTAATGCGAAGTAAAATTTCGGTGATAAACTGACAAGAGTCTGCACATAGGGACACTCGCTAAGCTGGAGATATCCGAAATGAAATAGAAAAGATTGACTCACTTAAATCGAGGTGTAAATCGATATCCTGGAATACTGCCCAAATTTAGAAGAGTCTAAATCCAGAAACAGGCCCTAATTTCGTGAGATACATGGCAAATTAGCTGGAAAAAATTCGTCCCCGGGGCGGCTCATGGTAAAGTGAATCTGAGGTTCAAGGTAACTGAAAAGGACTGGACGCGTAATTGGAAATGTTTGATTCTGACTCACATACCTACACCAGCACCAGCTAAAAATACAGGAGTTGCGACGGCTGCGACACCAACCAAGGCTGCACGGATGTAGTTGTTCGTGTGGTAGTAATTAAAGTCGCGATACCACTGGTATTGGTCTTCAGGTAATCCTTGACTTGTAAGCTGAGGAGGTGCTTGAGACGGATGCTTACTGAGAGACCGTAACTTGTGGAATTGCATGTTTTTCTTCCATTCTTGGAGGGCAGTACCAGTTATATGTCTTTTGCGTGTCAGATCTTTTTTTATCTCTCTATTGATTTCGTCGAGAAAGTGTTTAACAGCCTCTTCTTCTGATGTGCCTTTCAACAATTCGTCTTCATCCTCCTTTAATAACGGTTGGACTGTGTCGTCGGTTAAATGTCTTGGTCTTCATCTTTAATCTTGATGCCATCAAAAGCTTCCTGTAGCTTCCCGCCGTCTTCTACCATCAAAGCTAACTCTGTTTCCAGACAAGTTAGCTTTTCTCTCTTTCTGGTTTCAATGACAGTTTCCAGCTTTTCGCAGACCTTCCTGGAATGCAAAGTTACAGATTTTGCCTTCTGTGTTAATGACTCTATCTTCAACTTTGTTGCACTCGTGGCCAGTTTGTTTTCGAACTGAAGAAATGTATCCTGAAAATAAGAGGAAGAAAGGAATACGCCTTCCTTTTTAGAATTTCATTGAAGAATGATAACAGCTTACCATCCTTGCTTATCTCTGGCACTGGAGAACGTACGCGTTCTTACTTGTATTTCGTTTTCTGTTCGTGGCTATTTTGTTACCAACTTGTGGTGCCATTAAGGAAAATTCAGAAAAGAATAAAAAAAAAGAATGTCAACAGAGGTAAGAATGTTTCGAAGTTTTGATAGGTGTGTCTTGCCTCTCCATGTTCGAACTTTCTAGCCGAAGTGACTGCATTACACTTAAATTTGAAAGTTAAGCAAGAAACAGCATGCATGGACTTAGTACTTACATCATGATTTTCAAAGTTTTTGACGTTCACAAAGTAAGCTTTGCCTCTCCCTTGAAGCACTTCACAGAACTCCTTCATGTAATCATTGGCCGTTTTTACCACATTTCGGATGCTCTGTTGTCCTTCTTCCCTCGCTTTTCTTATGCATTCGTCCCATTTGGTGAAGACTCCAAAAGTAAATTGGCAGCCAACATTTTTCACCAGGTTAATGAGCTGCGGGAACATCAATATTAATAGGGCCACAGACAACATTTTCCTAAAGAGGATCACTACTGTCTTGTTTGGTATTTGAGGGCATGTCAGGTTGTTTCTAAATACCAGTGTGGCGTGTTTCCATATGTACCAATATAACGTTGCTTAAAAAAGGGGAGACGAAGTTTCTCATGGACCACAGAACCCACCTCGCCAAAGAGTGCTGTTTATTGCGTTCTAAGATTATAGAGCTAGGTGCCATCTCATTATCATATATTATCTGCAAGTATTTCAAGTTTATAAAGTTATTCTTTTTTGACTTATCAATGAAACACGAACTTACATTATATTGAAGCTTTAATTTTGCGGCATGGCGGGGAGGACTAAAGATGAAACAAAGCGATGGAAAAGGAAGGAAGTGAAATCTATTTTTAGGCTTAGCGGACAGAAGTCCACATTTAAAGCCTACGCCGGCGGCAAGAACAACCGGTGACTAACATAAAAATCGACTCGTTAGACTATGTTCTTACTTTTCCCGGTGATAATATTTTACGTCGTAGAAAGTATTCCTAGTTTTAACGTGGAAAAGGCTTTACTGTCTATGATTCGATCATAATCGAGACAGTTCTGACAGACATTTCCCGGATAAGCATTGCCTACGCTGGGAAAGAGGGTGTCAGTAATTAGCAGTTTCCATGGAGCGGAGTTTTAATATTTGGTCACATTGCCATCAACCTGATTGAAACAATAGAATCTGTGAACAAAAGGAAATATGTGCATTTTAGTCACTCTCCCTCTTGACGGTGACATGGAATCCATTACGGCTACAATTATGTCTGCTTTTTTGCACGTCTGGGTGACAAGCTCCATGTCTTCATCATTCTCTCCAAAGCCAGGTGTGTCACACAAGATAACGTTTCGCGGTAACTTTTTGCATTTGCTGGCAGGCCAATTGATCTGTATAATGGTCCTTAGACCAATTCCCTTCTTTTCCCGTTGCTGTTCATTTCTTTGACCACTCATTGTACTCAAGACATCGCTTACACGCTTTTCGTCTCTTCCCTTTGTGAGAGGCTCTGTGTTTCCATTTTCGTCAATTTTTCAATGCCCCACTCGCTGTCTTCAATGATGCAAACTTTAATGGAACCCATGGTTGTTTGCATGAATCCAACAGGTAGACGACGTTCGCTGAGTAGGGCGTCTATAAGGGATGATTTGCCACTTCTGGTTGCTCCAACAAACTGAATGACTATATCTTTCGAGGTTTCCTTCTCCCGAACGTTCTTCAAATTATCCATTACTTTGTTGAGGCTTTGGGATAATTGGCTCAATTCACCACATTCCTCGGGCTTTGCTCCCACAGCTTTTAGTATCTCCTCGTAATCCTAGGAAATTTTTAACAATTTTTTCTATATCTTCTTGTAGCGGTTTGTTAACTTTTTCACGTCCTCGATTAGTAGAGAAAACTTTCTCCACTTTGATTGGCGAGGCTCTGTTGCAGTTAATACGTCACCTTTTATGTTGTAATTAAGGAATGAAGTTTACGTCTGAACATAGATATTAAAGACTATCATTGAAATTATCTCATTTTCGTTTCAAGGCGGCAGTTCCCATTTTTTCATGCATGGAAAAGGATATTTAAGAATTCTTGGAATTTCAAAGAAGTTCCCAGCATCTTTGGTATCCAGGCAGCTCTTTTACTTCAATTAAAACATCCTCAGAACTCAGAGAGTTACATGTATAAGTTTATGGGTTTCCTTGTTGAACCGACTGAAATGATGCCAGGAGGACTAATCAAAGGCTCCTTGGAGCTAACTCGTGGTTTTTCTTAATTATTCAGTAGTGGTGATAATTTATACTTTTGCCATCTCCCTCCAGTAGCGGTACTGTACCCTCTATAGTAACGCTCTTGGAGTTAATAATTACGTAGTTAGCCAGTGCACTAAAACTTGGAGCTAAAAATGAATCATATAAGTGATATCAACAGTTGAAGATGAGGTTTTAACACAGTTTTTACCAAAAAGTCAGATATATCTACAGCCAAACAGGGACAAAACTATCGGGGAATTATGAGCAAATTGATACAGAAAACTCAATTTGTGAGCTGGCAAAAAATAAAAAATTGACCGCGCGTTAAAACTGCGATTAATAAGATTCGCACTCAAGTAGCGAAATAGCTCACAATGTAATTGCGTGAAACAAAGAAAGGTCGCATCAAAAGAAATCCGGAAAACCTCAAACCTCATAATCATCTGCCAAATATGTCTTAAATCTTGCCTGATGACAGCTAAAAATATACACGAAATATACTGTCGTTCAAGGAACAAAACATGACGGAAATTTGTTCCATCATACATAAACGTACGATCTACAGTGAAAAAAATTACATGAATTTGAACTTCAGTTCGCCATTAAGACAAGAAATAAAATCCCTCACAATGGTGAGATCAAATTAATTCTTTAAACCTCAAAACCCAGTAAATCAGCGGCCAAATATGAATGAAATAAAGCCAAGTGGCAGCTGAACAGATACACGAATCAACTTGAAGAAATAATTTAGGTGCTTTCAAAAGTCAGATCAAATGAAATCTTCAAGACCTCAAAATATAGTGAATCAGCTGCAAGATGAGTGGAAAATATATTCATATGGAGACCAAACGGATAAGCGAAAATTAACTTGAAGACAAGAATCAGGAGGGAGGGAGGGAGCGTCTCCAAGTTAAACATTGATCGAGAAATCACTGTCAGTATGACGCTTTCACATGTAACTAGTGATGTCCAATATGGCGAATGAATGAGTAATTCGTTATCGTCCGCGAAATTTGAAATATTTAACGACTTGGATAGTTTCATTACTTAATCTTGAAATATCTAAGATTCAGACAATATGTAACAGTTTTTTAAGTAGGTTGAGTGAGGAGAAGCGGTTCCAGAGCTTCATATTTCGGATGACTACATATCACTCTGTGGCTTATCCCTCAGCTGAAAATGTTTGGTTTCTGATGTTTTCCCGGAACTCTCAGAGTGACTCGGACACGTCCTGATACCAAAATAGGACGTTTGACAAGTAGCATATTACTCTTGCTGTTTGTAGACTTTTGAAGCCTTTTGTGCTCATTGTTCGTCTCATCCATCCCTTTTAAGTCCATTGTTGGACCGAAGAGGCGCAGAGAAGAACGATCGACATAAATGGTTGGAATCAGCGATCAACAGCGATAAGGTTTTCGAACATTTTTTGGCTTTCTTGCAATATTAACATGAACTCGATATAGATTGGTTTCCGTATAACAAATACCGTCATTGAACACTTTGTAATGAGGTGAAAATCAACATTGCTTCCAAATTCAGATGTTCTTTTTTCAGTTCAGTTTAGATCTCAATACAGGCACTATGTTATTCTTGTCTATTTAACATTGTGCTCTTACAGTATACATGTAGCTTTCAAATCTGCAGCTGAACCCTAATAACACAGACTATTGTTAAAGTCTTAACCCTTCACTCCCAAGATCTCATTCGTAATTCTCCTTATTGTCTGCCATACAGTTCTTGTGATGTTAGTTTTGAGAATTTGGTATTAGATCACCTAATAATCCTCTGACTGATATTTTTCTTTATTCTCATTACTTGTCTGCTTGATATTGTATTGATATCGTAAGAAGAAATTCTGTCTTGGTCACTTATGGGAGTTAGAGGGGTTCTTTTCCCCTTTTATCAAGTTTATCAGATAAATACCTAATACAAATTCCGAAAGGCTACTTCGAACCATAAGAGATACAGATAATTCGGATCAATTTTTGTTCCTGGGCAACCGAGCTCGATATGCATTTGTCGGCGTACTCGTGTGCGGTCGCGACGTACCCATAACTCGAACTATGTTTTTGATCGATGAAAGACAAATCTGGCAAGGTTGTTAGTAATGAAGGAGTGATAGATTACCTGCCATATTTATATTTACATGTCACTTCTTGTTCTTAAGAATCTAATTAACCTAATCATTAAGCCGGAAATTATCCGCTGTAAAAACTCTTAAGTAACTTTTTCCTCGTTAGTATCTACTGTGCTTATCTTGAACATTTCAAACAGTTAATTGTTTAACAATTTAAATTGTTAATCTTGTGTTATAAAGGCAAAGATAGATAGCCGTTATTGAAAGAGAAAAATGACCATTGCTTTGCGTTACCGGAACTCGTTCTTCGCCAGCGCAAACAGTACAGCCAAGGTTTCACATGAAACTAGAATGTTTCTCAATTAGACGTAAATATCAACGCAAGATGATATGTGTAGTTTACTGCCAAGAAAACAATAGTAAATTTTCGCAAAATGGCATTGTTTCCACTGAAAACGCATATTTCATGTTCTGAGTTCAATGAAAAAAAAAAAAATGAAAAACAACAATCACAACAATCTTGTCCTTCAACCCGTCACTAATAGTTTGGTTTAAAAAAATCCCGGGTCCTCTGAGAATCAATTTAAGGAGTAACACTAGTTTTTACAAGTAATGTCATGAAATCCAGTGTTGATGTGTCAAAAGAGACCAAAGGTTATTATATGGACGATTTTGATTATGATATGTTACTATCACCTCATTAATGTTCCTAGCAGTTCCTTCGTGCGTACTGACTCTTTGAACACTTGCAAAAAGCCGAGCTTCCGCACAGCTATCAACATTTCCATAAAATTATTTTCTGTTAGCGATGTTTTAACGGCCACATTAGTCATTCCTCTATCTTTCTGGTATTTTTTATTGAGGTAGAGTGGTTATTTTTCACAAATTTGTTCTTTCAGTGTGTATCTCAGTTTTCATTCGGCGTGTGTATCACCGATCTAATGGTTTGTACAGCAATTATCCGGTATATGTGTGTGTCGTAAAACCGACGTTACATCACTGATATAGGAAGCAAAAATTATATATTTCTTGGCATATTTAAAAGTTTTCAAGATTGTATCCAATTATAATCAGGCAGAGACAGCGAACTTACAACATGTAAATACTTTGGGCAGAGAGGTCCAGGTTACTAAAAATTTGTTTATCAGTTAATGGGGCCTTGGAAATGCATAATAATCATATATATTTCAGACGCCTTATGTATTTGTTTTAAATAAAGTACTAAGTTCGCCTCTAGGGCGATTTGTTTACATTTAATGGGGCTTTGAAAATGTGAACCGAAACGTTCATTCGTTCGTTGCTTTATCGCGAATTTGTACTACCATTTCTACTTGACCGCCCTCCTTATCGATATCTTGACCTAATGATAGAAAGGGAAGTTAGTGTCTGTGAAAAACGACGTTTTGTCAAGGCAAAGCGCCCAGAGAATATATAAAATTTTGCCTAACGTATTTCATGAATAATAAGAGTTAAAACTATAAATCCAATTCGCAGCAGCGCTATGTGGGGGATGATACGAAAGGGGTCCACGAATTCAAAATTGATGAAAGCAACTGCCCGTTATAAGAAGGAATTACGATCTACTTATATGTCACTGGCTGGCCTAAGCATTATTCTACAAAGAAATCAATTGAAATTGAAAATATGGATTGGTTATTTACAAAACACGGTTATGCTGACCAAGTATAGGTGTTACTTCAGAAAATGTGCCATTCTTCTCCTGCTTATTTCCCTAAAACTAGTGATGAATACCAAACAAAATGAGCCGTCAGGTGTGATGAGCCCACCGAAGGTAAAAATATGATAACAAAGTCTTAATGGCTTTGTTGGGTAAGAAGAATTAGTGCTCTACTGGTTGTTTTCTTCATGGACTTTTAACAAGAAAATTAATTTGAATTAAATCCAGTCAGTTTATGGTAATACTACAATGATGTGTTGTTGAGTAACGCGGACTACTCCCACATTTCACTGTAAGGCTTGTATACAGCTGTTTGAACGGAGGACTGGTCTTCTGTCTAGTCATTGGAAGGAACTGTGTCGTTTATTTTCAACCTGAAGAACACAATTGAAAGTAACGTATTTCTTAGATCTGACTCTCTTAGATTAGATCTGAGTGGATCACCCAGATATTAACTTAAAAACAACTAGACAGTGTTCCGGCGTTAGTTCACGTTTTTTCAAAGAATGTGCATGCATGATTTTATTTTTCACTTGAAAGCTAAAATATCCCTGGGACAAATTTGGTCGAATAACATTCGCCTGTGCTTTTTTTTTAAGTATGTTTGGTCTTCAGCGAGATAAGGAAAGAAAACATCGAGTGGTGCGATTGTCAATTGGTAAGTAACCAAGATATTCAAAGATGGAAGCGATAGGTTTTGAAAAGAACTCTTTGTAAAACGCGTACTTGAAATCTCTTCCACTCAACGTCGCAAAGAAAGAAAATTTGTTGTGAGTCGTCTAACCGACGGAACTATCGAATGACTATGAATACAAGTCAATGTGGCTTACCCTCTCCTTCTCAAGGAAACGAAGCATGAGAATATTAAAAATTTACTGCTGACCGTAATTATGTTACCACTTATCAGAACTTTTCTAACATCTGGCGACTGGTTGTTGCCAGAATTTCTCTCTTTTTCATAATTTGTAACCACAAGAAACAGGGAATCTTGGCTTCGCGATCTGGCACCTGTGACAGAGACAACTGCGAGTGTGATCGTTTTAACGCAAGGCATTCCTGACTATATTTTTAACTAAACTTCCAGATCTGATAAAGCTTGACATAATGGAACATTCTTGATGGCAATACTTACCTATGCTTTAGCTCGTCGAGTTCTTTTTGAACAACCTCCAGGTGATCTGTGATTTTACGAAGTTTCGATGACCATATTTCAAGTTGTTGTAATTCTTCTTTCAGCGCTGACATTTCTTCAAACGAACCATCTCTTGCCATTTTTTGTGTGAAGAAATTGAGTCAGAGCTTTGCTTCATAATCTCTGATGCTGATACTTTGAATTTTTCAAATTGTGCTTTCATTTCCTGCAACGTTGTCCGCGCGTGCTGTTTAAGTTTTTCCTTCCTCATTCCACTTGGCCCTATCATGAGACAATTCATCAATTTTAGTTTTTTCCCCTTACATCCTCCATTTAACTTAATTAAAAGTTATATCGATAAACATGTTCTTTTTATAACCCATATAAACCTTTCCAAAGCTCCATGGCTTGTAAAAGGAGCAAAATACATATGGCCTTTTCATAAGACAACATTCTTGTTTTGTTCGAGATCATGTTCAGAGGCCAAGGAATATGATTGCATCTTTAGTATTATCGTCATAATTATCCTTCAGGCTGGTCTTTATCATCTTCCACATTATTATTATCCTATCATATCATAAATGCCGCTATTATTATTAACTTTACAATCATTATTGTTATTATTATTATCATTATTTATTTTCATTATCATCATTATTATTGAATCACCATGCACAATATTTGATAACCTATAAAGAATTGTCTAAGTACATAATCGACACCTACAGTGGCCCTTCTAGCCCATTCATCCGTCACAGGACAACATGCGAAGTGATCCGTTAGCCATGCCTTGATCTTTAAAGAACACATCCACCATGAACCAGAAATTGAGAAAGCATACTCCAGCAGTCAAATAAGTATGGCTAGCTGACCACTCAGCTTGGGGAGGAAGAATGTCGCTGCTTTAAAGCTGTTATAAGCACTTTACCCGAGAAGGAACGAAGTTTGGTAAACTTGTCAATTGATAAAAAAAAACCGGTAGATTGTATAGTAACAGGAAATGTTACAGCATCAACTGATGTATCCATGTGTAACACATGCTAAATAAAATAGTAACGAGAAAAAGCCAACGGCATAGATCCTCAAATGGCCAGAGAACGAGAAGAAGGGGAAATACCAGAAACGTGTGTTGGACGTGGAGATGGGGTCCTTTAGGGAGCTGTAGTCGATGATTCAACATGTATTTCTAAGCTTCAAACAATCGAGATCAGTTATATGATTCGAACATGTACGAGATTTAGGGAATCCGCAGTAAGGTTAAAATGAAAAACTACAACAACGACACTTCCGACTTCCACGTGTTTTTGAGCCCACTATGCCTTATGGGAGGCACAAGCCTCCCAACACTAGAGCAAGAAATTCCCTTTTTTTTTAAATAAAAATGTTGTACAAAAGTTAACAACAGGAGCTGACTGTAAAGTGTCCCTGAGAAACCCCGATGAGAAACTCTAAAAGAGGAACGGAGAGGCTAGTGCAGAAGTGATCCATGGTTAAGAAACGTTTATCATTTGAGATTTGAGATCTCTGCATATGAGTGTCAGAGGCTCTAGAGTGCTATTTCGCGACGCAAAGGAAGTCCTAAATGATTTTAGATTTAATAGTACAGAAGTCAGTCTGATATAAAACTTCTAGCCTTCGTATCCAATGTTTTATCGGGAACGTTTCTGAGATATTGTTATTTTTTTGTTATTGTTTCTTTTAATCCTAAAATTTAAGATGTATTTTACTCCATTAGACATCGTTTGATCTTTTTTATAATAATAATAATTATTATAATATTAATAAAAATGATAATAATATTTTAACGATAATTTTATATTATTATTGTCATTATAATCATTATTTTTATCATCATTATTACAAGTAGTAATGGTAGTAATAGTAGAAGTAGTAGTATTAGTGGTAGTTGTGGTTGTGATGGTTATTGTGGTGGTGGTGGTGCTACTAGTTGTAGTAGTTGTGTTGGTACTGGTTTCGGCGTTGGTTGGTGTGATAGTAGTGGTTGTTGTGGTAGTAGTGTTGCCGGTGGTTCTGATTGTGGTGCTGGTTTTTGTAAAGTGGTGGTGGTGGAAGTGCTGGTAGTGATAGTGTTGGTAGCGGTGGTGGTCCTGGTATTGGTGGAGGTGAAGCTGGTGGCTCTTGTAGTGGTAGCGATGGTTATAGCGGTGGTGGCGATAGTTATAGTGGTTGGCATGGTGCTGATGGTGGATATCATGGTTATGGTGGTGGTGATGGTGGTTTTGGTGTTGCTTGTGGTAGTGGTGGTCATGATTGTAGCGATGGTTCTTTAGGCGGTTCTCGTAGGGGGGGTTGAGGTTGTCGTGATAATGGTGGTAGTGATGGGTGTGGTGGTTGTTATAGTAATGGTTATGGATGTGGTTATGGTGGTATTGGTGGTTGTAAAGCAATAGTTATGTTTGTGGTTGTTGTAGTAGTGGTGATTGTGGTGGTTCTGGTAGTGTTGGTTGCGGTTGTGGTGCTGGTAGTGGTGGTGATAGTTTTGATAGTGGTGGTGATGTTGGTTGTTACGGTGGTGGTGGTGAGGTTGTGATGGTGGTTGAAGTAGTGGTGGTTATGGTTGTGCTGGTTGTTGTTATGAGGCTGGTTGTACTGTTAGTGGTAGTCGTGGTGTTGGAAGTGGTGGTGGAAGCGGTAATAGTGGTATGGGTAGTGTTGTGGTGGCAGTGGAAGTGGTAGTACTGGGTAGATGGTGGTGTTGCAGTGGCTTTGGTTGTGGTGGTTGTGATGGTTTGGTAGTGGTAGTTGCGATTATTGTACTTGTGGAGATAATTTTTGTTGCGGTAGTGTTTGTGGTAGTAGTGGTTGTGGTAGTGCTAGTTGTAGTAGTGGTAGTAGTAGTAGATGTAGAAGTAGTAGTAGTAGTCGTCATAGTAGTAGTAGTAGTCGTAATAGTAGTAGTAGTAGTTGTCGTAGTAGTCGTAGTAGTAGTAGTAGTAGTAGTCGTCGTAGTAGTAGTAGAAGTAGTACTGGTAGTTTAGAAATTATTAACCAAAATTGAGGTGAATAGTGGTGGATACTTACCAAGCCGCTAAGCGCGAGATAAATATCCAACACTTTCTCCAACACTGAGGTGAATACCTCTTTAATTTATACCACACAGATACCAAATGGTTAGTTTATTTCCTTCTTTATAACGAACAATCGTAGGAAATTAACTTACGACGCGCGATTTTGTCTCATCGGCTGCTCGGAGGTGAAAAGTACTTACTATTCATTTTCAAACTAGCAAATCATCGCGTGCGAAAAGCACTTCTCACTTGTGTGGTATATAGCTATTAACTTGACTGTGCTCTGTTCTGTTGTAAAGTGTGCAGGAAGGGGTCAGAGCACGAAAGAAGTGTAGGGGGAAACGCTACCTGCCTCTTAATTGCCCTAACTGCAATTACGATTTTCAAAACAGATTTTAAAATTTGGAGCGAACAAGAGTGTCGTCAGCATGCTCTATACTCCCATAAAACACATTACAAGAAGCCAATCAGGATCCATGTTAGAATGGTTCAAAGAACACGATTTGTTGGAAAGGACGAAAGTCGTCAAAAATATTAGACCATCAAAGTTCACAATCTGCAATAGTTTGGCAAGTCGAATTTAACCCTTTTGCCCGTTTTTTTTTTAATCTTAATACTGAATCTGTAGGGGAAATATTCAGTTAAATTCGGTCGAATTCTGGCTCAAAAAAACACGCAAGTTTTTTTCCCACGACAATTAAGAAACGAACTGCTCAAGGCACATGTTCTATTAATAAAAGAGAGCTGAATTCACTGGAGCAATAGAATTGCCGTAAGACTCGGCTGCAGTTAGAGATGTGGCCTTCTACTCAACGCATCAGAAGGGATATCAGAGCAAGTTCTTAGTTCACTTAAAGAGTAGAAGATGTAACCGATGACCGTAAATCGCCGTGATGAGCTAACTAGCCGCGATGGATCTCAGCATGATCGTAGTCACTCTGACGCCGTCATAATTTGTATGAAGTTTAACAGTTAGGTCCGTTTGGGTATATTTTTTCATCATTCCTGTTTTGTTTTTGAACACGAAATTTTACATACTATACGAGTGTTAGTTGTGTTTGAGGTTTGTAGCCGTATGTAAGCTTACAATCTAACTGCGCGTGAAAACCTCCAAAACTCGGACAGTCCATTTCGTTATCCCTTTGAGAATTTTCGTTTCTGGTGACGTTATAATCACGTCAATTACGGCGCTTGGCATGTTTACATACCTTCTTTTGGTTCTTCTGTTGCCACTTGCTGGCTCACTTGTTCTAAATTTCACTTTCAATGAACGAAAAAAAGCTTGAGAGAGGTCCGAGAAATGATCGGACATAGTACAAATTGACAGGTGGCGTGACAGCTTTAGCTCAGCTCCGTGTTTTGAGCTCCGATGGCACACAATCTTTCGACCTATAACAGCGCGCGTCATATCCGAACTTTTTTTATATAGTAGTTAAAGTAGCAGTACAGTTATTGCTTTGTTGGTTCTATTGCTCTGGTAGCACTACTTTTAGTAATTTTTTAAATAGGGAAGAGTCCCTTCCGTGCAAATGTCTGAAGAAAGGAATGATTACCTGTATTGCATTTAAGGAGATGCCACCATCCCCCGGGATACCTAGGCACAGTAACTTGCAATTGTATTATCACATAAACTGCGGTGTCATACAGGGATTTCCGGCCCCGAGAAAAGCCGCACCAACACACGTGAAAAAAAAATCGTGTCTTTCCGCGTGTGTTGAAATGGCCAATCAGCTGCTTTCAATCCAATCAGCCTTTGGCACCTCTGGTTTATGTTGATGAATGAACGGCAAAGCCTTCACGATTCTCAATACAAGCAATTTGTCGGAACTTTCTCGAATTATGGCGGCTAAAACACGAAAAAATCCGTATTGCTGACAGACAGTGAGTGCAAACTTTTATAGAAGGGGAAGAACACCAAAATACCTAAAGAAAAAGCGAAAGTTAAGTATTCAGTGGCTTTGGTGTTGGCATTTTTCTTAGCTGAGAATGAAAATCGAAAACTGGAAGATTTGCCACTGGCCGATTTTGGCCGTTTACCTGAAAGACTTCTTCTGTCGGTAAGGACAAAGTCAATAAGTCATGAGAATTTTGTAAACTGAAATTACGACCATTGTTGTTTTTGTAATCATGACTCAAAGCATTTTTCCATCTCAAGAGTTCGCGTCAACACACTCTACGATCCCTGTTATTTAGGGATTGTCGATTCATTTTTTCATTCATTAATGAAGTCGGATTTTCTTCTCAGGAAAGGGCTGTTGTGTATATATGATAAACAAAATAACACATGGCTGCTTGTAGATATGGAATCTCTCTTCTCGTGTTCAACTCGACATCTTATGGAATTTCTCTTCCCGTGTTCAACTCGACATCTCAGTCGTTCGCTGCGCTCACTCGTGAGTTATTGAGTTAAACACTCGAAGAGAAATTCCATATCTACGCACGTACCATGTCTCTATGTATCACCTACCAGCAGCTGCCCATCCAAACAGGACCGCCCATAGGTTGTTGCCCGTAAAGAAGGCGTGAGGATCTCTACTATTGTCGTAGCCATAATCTTCTGGTTCTTTAAACTGTTTGGCTTCATAGGATGGTAACGTATTTGTTGAAAATCCATAGTTACCTTGCTTAGCATATTTCCACTTCTGAAACTCGGCCTTTACCTTTAGAATTTGTTTCTGTAAAGTTTCATTGATTACATAGATCTCACTTTTAAAAAATGCACTAACAGCCAGATCCTCACTTTCCTCGCTGTTACAATCTTTGATCTTGTTGCCGAGTTCTTTTATCAACAGATCAATCTTTTCGCTAGAGAGAAGGTCAAGTATCATTGTATCGAGACGTTTCATTTCCTGGTGCACTATATCAAGGCTATCGCGATCTTTTTCCATAGTGCTGATTTTATTCTTTAAACGTGTTAAACGGTTTCCTTGGATTCTTTCGCTATCATCAATGGTGCGTTTAAATTTTGCGAGGCGTTCAGCGAATTCTGAAGCGACATCTTTAGCGTACTTCGTGACGAAAATGCCTTTTCTTACTTTAACAGATTTTGCTCTCTCAGCTAGATCTCTCTCAAACCTCAGAAACTCCCCTATTCCAGCATTTCTCTCTGTCTCCCCCTACAAAGACAATTATACAAAAATGTTGCAGTTACCGTAAAAAGGATAATGCATATTCATTAAGCTGTTTTTTTTTTCTTAGGAAATTTTTTCACCAACGTCGATCTTCACTGCATATGGCAGAACCAAAAACCTCAAAGACATTTAGGTACCCTCAAATTTTTTCGGTGCAAGTAGGTTCGATCCGGAAAAGGAATAAATTAGGAGGGTTTTTTTAAATGCTCTCAGATATACGATTTATGCGAGAAGTTTTCAGAGCTTTGGTACAGGCCGTATAGATAAGTTCAATGATAGATAAACATGCTCGTCTAAGTTTGTTATTTTCGTGGCCTCGTGCCATCAACCAGTTACGATACGTGGGTTCTACGGGAACGGAGTTTAAAGTCCGTTTTCGTAGCCGCATGTCATCGATAACAAGGAAATAGTTGAACATGGCATTTCCCAAATCAGCTTCATCGTCACTGAAAGAGGGTATCAATGGAGTTAACCGATAGCCGTAAAACGACAAAAAAATAGCCGTTGGGTGTAGAAATCTACAAATTTTAGGTGATAGAGGTAAAAAGGTTAAGCGTAAAAAAATTATGTTGATAAAAATGTAATGATATGACCGTTAGTCGTAAAATGGCCAATTCGTAACTGTTAGCCGTAATGGCCATCACCCCAATGACACCCTCCTAAATATTGATCGATTGCTTCTAGCTAGGAAGATATATTGGATTGCCCAATTGTTTACGCTTTAGCCTCTTGGCCTCTACCAAAGGCGGGAGTTTAGATCCAAGAGCCGCATTTGCTATAGTATGGCTAATTAATTTAAGACAAAACACCTTGCCATTCATGACAAAGTGATACATTTTCCCCATTTGAGGTTTTTGGTCTCCTGATATACAGGAAAGATTCATTTTTGGTCGAAGATTTCCTAATAGCTCTGACGACGAACTTATCATGTGTAGGTCCTTTTTGATAACCAACTGAATGTCTGGGGGGGGGCAGGGTTGTAATCAGGCACTATATACCTTTTCTTTTCTTATCAAAAAGAGAATTTTTGATGAGAAAAAAGAAAATTATATAAATTTAGTATATATTTCAGCATGCAACGCTTCTGAAAACGGGTGTAAATACATCTACTATAAATATACAAATATACTCTGACCAATCACAACGCCCGTTGTGTTTAAGTTATGTTAAAAACACATTTTTATATACTAGTTGATGTAATCGTTGACATTTGTTGTCTACGCGGAATCCCTCCGCCTCTCATGGGCCATTTCCTTCTTCAAATTGATTTTATAACTTGTAAGCGTCTGTCACCTACAGAATACTCCAGCATCTCGATTTGCCTCGTTTTCCGATTTCAGGTTGCTCCAATTAGACTGCTAGAATACATAGATTCAAAACTTACCGAGGCTAGTGTGGTATTCTCTACTTCAACGAAATAAACTTCTTGCATGCCTCCCAACGACCGTTCGAATACCTCTTTGTAACATTTTCTTGCATGTTGCCGCGTCGTCTCACGCATATTTTCAGTGACTTCATCCCATTTAGTAAAGACACCAAACTTGAACTGGACCCTGAACTCCTTTAGCACATCTACAGTCTTAAAAGCGAAATAAAATAATGTAGCGAACAATTCCTTGCATTTTGTTGTTTATTATTTTGCTCTTTTGTGCTATTTTGGCATTTTATTTTGGTATATGGAACCGAGAACATTATTAGTTAAACAGCGAACAAAAATTCCAGCTCTTATGTTCTGCCTTTATTTTAGACCAACTTTTGATGGACTAGAATCGCTAGTGACTGAGAAAAACACCTGTTCTTATCCCTTTACATTTCAGTGCTTGAAGATAATTAAAAACTCCACAAAGATCCACAGAAAGTTTTATCGATTTAAAAATAAACTGAAGCAGTCTCTCGATGTGTCCTCCTCCTTCCATATCTCCAATTGAATTCCAAAAACAATCAAAATGATAGATATAAGGTCAATAAACAGAGCACTATGATCAGTTCTAACTGCCCCCGTATCAAAAGACTATTATGATGTCCCATTTAAGTTTTGAACCGGGTATACAGTACTTACATTCGGAAGGGAAGGTGTCGAGAGATCCATCACAGCCACAATCATATCTGCCTTCTTGCAGTAGTTAAAGACAAATTGGTGGTGATTTTCTCCTAAAAAGGGTGTATCTACCAAGACGATGTCTTCTGGTAGACTGCAGGAGTCACGGGGCCAATTTACTAATATGACACTGTCACAGTTTATATTTTGCTTCTCCCTCTCTTCCTTAGTTTTCTCATTCACCAGTGCATCCAAAAATTTCTTTACTTCTTTTTGTCTTTTATTTTGGAGAGTATGGTTTCAGTACCCGTGTCTTTAACGCTCCACATTTCATCAGGCGTAGGACGAACTTCAAAGGTGCACATAGTTGTAAAACAACGTCCAGTGGGAAGAAGATCGTCTCTAAGTAAGGCGTTTATCAAGGATGATTTTCCACTGCCTGTACGTCCCACAAACACAATAGTTATGTCTTCAGCTACCGCCTTTATAAGTTCTTTCATTGTAAACACCATTTGCTTTAAGTCCCTCTGCGTTGTTGTCTCTGATTCGAGAAGGTGTTTATTGTTGTACTTTTTATGGCACTCATCAGAGATCTCCTCAACCTCTTTTAATGCTTCCGTTAAGCTCTGAATTTTGTTGCTCAATTCCCCTTTAACTTTCTTTACTGTTTCTCTAAATTCGTCCCACTTCTGCTCTCTGGTCGATACAGCTGATCTTGCGGTTGCCATCGTTTGCTTCCTGGGACAAGTTAAAAGAAATGTCAACCCCGTCACTTAAAGCATTTATTTTCATGTAGTTGAAGTGTTAGGACCTGCACGTGGATGGCACGGTATAGAAAATGTTGTGGAAAAAAATGATCTTTATATGTTGTAGCGCCCTAGCGAAGCGTACGTGAATGACCGCACTCCTCGCTTGCTTTGTATTCATCAGGAGTAGTAAAAATGTGGGAAAATATGAATAGAGATTATTGGTAGAGATGTTGACGATGACAGCTCAGTTCTTTTCATATTTAAGACGACTGCGAGACTGGGGCTAAAGCATTCGGAGATCGCGGTAAATAATTGAGTAAACGAAGAAGAAGCGTTGTAGAAAACATTTAACTATAAAAGATTGCGATAAAATACTTCTACAACCGATATGATACATTTGGGAAAAAAATTGTTGAGTCTTCAGTTGTATATTCTTTAAACGTCTTAATTAGTATTGTTGTTTTTACTATTTATAGCCAAATAATTTTGTACTTTTTTGCCGGACTTAATGATGACGTTACCATAACGTCCACTAGCTTTTTATAGCTTTTTAAGCTGTATTATGATGGTTATAGAAGTGTTTTATGGCAATTTTTGTGGCCGGTATTTTACAGTAAAATGTTTTACTTGGCTTCTTGATTTGTTTGTCATTTTGTTTAACAGAAGTTTGATTGTACCTTATAACCTTCCCATTTCGAGCGATTTTATTGGCTACTTTACGTCACTTGGTGCAAAATCACGACGCAATTAACCCCGTCTGCGTCGTTATTTGTCCTTCGATAAGTTACGTGGAAAAGAAATATAGCCGGCTCAAATGTTTCATCTCAACTATTTTACACGGAAAAACAAACTCGTTTTTTAGCAGCGATAGTCATATCACTGGAGCTCGTAGACATTGACGGAGTTATCTCATTTTTAACTCGTGAATTGCGCGCATGTGCAAGAGCGAGTTATAGATACGATGTGGGGAATGCTCGCTCGCCCGCTCGATTGGTCGATTCCTATAAACTTTTTTTAGATTTTAGGCTTTTGAGTGCATTTGATAGTTTTTGGCGAGCAATAAACAGACGAAATGGCGACCTTTGTTGCTAAGAATAGTGGCGGGGTGAAAAAGAAGCCAATGATAATCTTAAGAGAGTTTTTTTTTTCCTTTTAGTTTCAACAAGCGGCGCCAGCGACTGGCAGGCATGCAAGGATTCACACTGAAATAACATAACAACCTTCGTTTTTCATAAAATTGTAATTTACAATCCTTGAACTTGAAAACAATCCGAAGATTCATTGAAAATATCACTTCCTGCGAAGCGCTCGGAGTTTACAGATGTTCAAAAGCTTTTTCTGTTATGGCGTGAGATTGAGGACGAAATTGATCATTACGTTTCGTCGCGTGTGTTTTTCCTGTGTGAAGCAACCAAAGATGCCGGCGACTGACGAAATTACAAGTTAACACGAAAATCAAATAACACCTAAACAAACAATTTTAGCTACCGATTTTCAGTGAATTTTTAAAGAACAATTTTTCTTTAAGTTTCAAGACAATTTGAAAATTCAACATACATACAACGTACTAAAATGCGAAAGTTACACACCACAAAATTGATAAATAGACCTGAAATGAAATTCTACCTTGTTATTGATTATGCGTTGCCTAGCACGTGACTTAAATCTAGCCAGGCGGAGATCCAAAATGACGGTGGCAGGCTTGGCTTAGTTATATCACTCAAAACTCGTTCCCGTTTGTCTCATTTGATAAAGAGGGAATCGTTAATGTTTTCATCAAGACAGTATTGCCTTGATTTTCTAATATTTACAATGAGAGACAGTAAATTTCACTTTTCACCCAGATTTACTTCCAACCTTTTCTTTTGAACCAGAAACAAAAATGATAGACGTTTAAAACACATGACATCATCCACCTTGTCAAATGTAATAGCGTGATCATTTCAATTGTAATGCCTTCTTATCCCAACGTTACTTTGTTTCTCTACTACATCAGCGAATACTGAACTACTGCTCGTACTCTAAATATGACAATCAACCACAAAATTCCCTAAACCAGATAACATTAAACATAATCTAAAAAATCATGTGTCAATTCACGAGTTTGCTCACAGAGCACTTTGATTAACAAACTAATTCAAGTTGGCTATTGAATTTCTTTTTTCACATCGTCGAACAGAGGACGTTTAAATTTTAATTTAGAATACCTGAACTGCTCAAATGTCCATGATTTATCATTGAGCAAAGTTCCAATATTCCACGTAGGAAGCCAAAGTAATTTTACGAAATCTGTTATCGGCTTTTTATTGTGTCATTTTGAGAAAGTAAATATCCTTGAATTGATTGGGAAAAAACCAGCTCGTGTCAAAGCTACCTCTTCAATATACACAAAGTATCAAAACTAAGCACTTCAAGCTCGACGGGCAAAGACTAATTTTTCTAACAGATGTTGATCGGCTGACAAGCATAGTGTTACAATAAGTATCATACTAGAAAAATTGTTATTCCAGCTATTCTTTACAAAGATATCTTCAAATGTATAGCTGTTTGCAAAGGTTCCCGTAATCGTTTGATAATTGGCAAGCTTAAACAAAAACTTCCAAGCGCCTTCAGTTAATTTTTTTAAATGCTGGACGAAGTTGCCTCTCAAAATTCCTTCTTGTGTGTTTGTATGCTCCTTGTATGATTTTGTTTTAAAAAAATTCACACAAATTTCCTTGAGGCTGACTCTGTGAGCTGGATTTTCACTTTCAGTTTTTCTCTCAAAAACGGATTGTCCGCAGTTTGTGTAAAATTTTGGTTGTATAATGAATCCTTTATTTTATGATAGCCTAACTCTTTTCCGGCGTTTTATTTTTGTCGACCTCAAATTTGGCTCGTCCATAAATACGCAGTTCAATAGAGATTGGGAAGTATTCGCCTTCTCTTTAATTTACATGAAAGTTTTTGTACTTTGCCACTAAAGCTAGTGGTGGCCACGTGACCTGTTTGTGCATATCAGGTGAGAGACGCGAACATATCTCTGAACATTTTGCATATTACAATGCATGCTACCAAATATCAGTTTAAACCCTGATAACAAGCTAATTTTCATAGGCAGCAGGAAGGAAAAAATAACAATGAGGCGAACAGTAAACGAAATCCATTTAGGAATGCTAACCCCCCTTAAAAAATATTTTGTTTTGCTGAATTCGACATTTTTAATGTTGAAGAATATTTGTTTAACAAGCAAAATATAAAAACCTGCTGCATCACACATACTTATGAGTAACCTGTTCCACAAGAAAAAGATGATTCAAGAAAATATTGTCTAATTGACATTCAATCAATAATTAAATTGTAAGAAATGATAATTTCAACAATGATAATAAAATGTTCTCATTTCATTTCAATTCCTTTTTTGGAAACTTTTGTTTCACACAAAAAGGCAGTCAGCGTTTTGGGATATTCATGATGGTCAGATCACATCTACTGAGATATTTCTGCAATGAAAAGTTTTTTATTTAAATTATGCGTCGGTGGATGCCCCTGTAAAATTATTTTGAGCAATGGGCTCCTGTTTTGAGTTGTTTATCATTGTTTGTAGAATCACGGCAAAAACTGAAAGTGTTATTAATTTCTATCAACATAATTTACTACTTTGAACGGCGAAGAAAGAATTTTCAGAGTTTCATGATCCGCCGATCATAGAAAAAAGATTTTGCTTTTTTGCATGCGCAATCCTGAAATTATTGTGAGATGTTTATCGTCTTCTCCTGTCTTCTTTAGTGGCAAAGCAAGAACTAAAAACAT